TTCCTGAATAAAAATTAATTATTAAAAAAATTTAAAATTTGGAAAAAACCAACATTAAATAATATCCGAAAATAATTGAAAGAATACTTCTTAAAATATTCTGCTATGAAAAATACTTTAAATTGGCTTGTAGTTGGAGGTTTTGTTAACCTTATTGTACAAGTACAGCCTGCCAATACTTAAAAAACAAAAGTCCTATAAATTTATTATACATGTTATATTTTCATTAAATTCAATTGTAAATTCTAACCCGTAAATCACACATACTGAAATAAACTAGGTTGTCAAACAAAGCTTGTTGGAAAGCCTAGCTTTAGATATGCTGTAAATTTAATAGTTAACCTTAGACTTAATTTAATCTTAAACCAATATAATAACTTAACCCTAAACCATAAGAACTACATCTACACACCTACACCTATACATCTACACCTTAATTTATTCCAAATAAATGAAAAGTGTATTAAGAAAGGTGTCATCTTATTGATATTTTTATAACAGGTAATATTTATCAAAACTAATAGAAATAAATTATTTTTATATTTCGAATATCTTTTTCATGAAGGTTATATGAAAATATCTTGAAATGAAATAAATAAAATCCAAGTCTAAAAAAGTATATAAACTATTATGAAATAATTTTTGAAATCAAGATGTAATCAAAATGCAAAAGGATATTCAGAGATGAAACTATCATCATCACCAAAAAATTTGTTGCTCGTACATTCCTTTTGATATTTGCTAGCACTGGCGTAGGAAAAAGGGGCGGAGGAGCGATATCCCCCCAACTATAACACTAGGGGGGGGGGGGACACTACATTAAGCCCCCCCCCCCCCCCTCCATTTTCTAAACAGTTTTAAAAAAACTTTAATAATAGCAACAGCGGAATTATCATTTTCCAGTCTGCAATGACTCAATCACAATTAAACATCACCATGGAAAAGTATATCCATAAAACTGTTTAAGATACTATCGCTTACTAACTATTTTTAAATGAATTTGTGCTGGCAAAAGATGACTAATCACGTTAAAAAAGTTGATTAATCGTGTTGCGTGTGATAAATAATTGAATAAATAGATCATTTTCATTTATTTTGCTGTATCATACAAAATTGAGAAACTTTTTCCTTTTTTATATATGTTTTAGCCCCCCCCCCCCCCCAATATATATGTTTTAGCCCCCCCCTCCTCCAATAATATATGTTTAAGCCCCCTCCCCTCCCCCAACTTTCGCGACCTTCCTACGCCACTGTTTGCCAGCACAAACTCTTTTAATAGACCCAATACAACTGAACACCTTTGCAAGCCACATGTTTGCAGTACCAGTTTTGCAAGTCATTACATCTGTGATATCTATTCTGAAATTCCCAATACTTGCTTGGATCATGGCTTTACTTAGATTACCTTAACCCAAACATCAAGGTTTATAATAACATGACATCTTGTATCATTATAACCCGATAAAAAGTATATCTGATACCTTGTATCAGATTTTTAATAAGTTTGAAAAAAAAATGACAAAATGCTTTTGATTTTGAATATACAACATATAAACGGATATTAATGAATATAAGTGAGAAAAACACAGTTTTTCAAGATATACGACAACGTATGTATGAAAAATTATTGACAGAAAACATTTAAATCTGTAAAAATAAAAAACTCTGTTCATTGCTAATATAGTGTAACAGTATATTCAAACAGTCTGTTCATTACTAATATAGTGTAACAGTATATTCAAACAGTCTGTTCATTACTAATATAGTGTAACAGTATATTCAAACAGTCTGTTCATTACTAATATTGTGTAACAGTATATTCAAACAGTCTGTTTAAATATAATAATTATAATTCCTTTTTTATACTTTTTATTCACAGTTGTACCGGTCTTTACATTCCTGGAAGTCTTTCAATAAAAAAAATTGTTGTAATCAATAACAAAACTCAATAATAAAAATGTTTATCAATTTAGTAATAAGTTAATAATATGTAACCATGCAAAAAATTAATCCTTTATAAAAATATTTAATGAAGTTACAATCCAAGTATACAAAAAAAAAAAAAAAAAAAAAAAAAAATGCCGAATAAAATCCAGATCTTTTGCATACAATTTTAAAATTTAATGAAAACTTAACTTTGAAAAATTTCAATACAAAATAAAACACAGAAAAAAACACAAAACAAAAACATACAATTAAAAATATTATTTAATATAAACAATTATGAAAATCTAATAATAGAAAGATAACTTAAAACTTCAAAATTTTCAGGCAGTTTTTTTTCCCACAAAGCCTGCTTATCTCAGCCAAATAAATGAAAAGTAGTATTTAGTGTGTTTAAATATCTTAATAACACGATAAAATAGAATAAATATAAACTTACTTCAAAAATGATCTAATTTCATTTCTCGGTTAAACATGAACAACACTGATGTGTAGCCGTGCGTAGTTACACGTTGCAAGTTAAGATATTTGTAAACATTTTTTCATTCTATTTTATATATACTATTTATACCTACAAATAAATATTATTTTTACAAAATATATTTTATGAACTATAAAATCTTTTAAAATTTATTTTAAATGTCAAGTGAAAAATAAATAAAATTTTTATAATATTTACATTTTTATCCAAAAATTAACGCCGTGAATAATTATGTTTTTGGGTTTGTAATATGCTCAACAAGATTTGTTTATATCAGCAAAATAAAAAAAACCACAAGAGGAAAAGAAGCTTTTTTTGTTTACCTGTATTACTGATAATTGCTTAAAATAGAACGACCAAAATAAAAAATAAGCAATAATTAATGATCAACTTAGTATATAACCTACGATTTATTGATAAAGCTTTTGCGGTTACATAAAGTTATAAATATACAACTGTATACTCGATGAAGTTAACTTTTTGACTGCTTGATGAAAATAAGAGAAGTTTTGTTGAATTCAGGTTAATAAATAAATTTTTGGAAATAACCTATTTCAACCTATTGCACCTCCTAACATCGAGTGCAATCCTGTCCGCTTTCTCTATGCTATCTTTCTAACACGACTACTTCTGTCTTTCACTCTAACATATTTTCGTTCTTCCTAAACTCACTTTACTCTTGGTCCGTAGAGCGGGTTATGACGCTCCTTGGGGAGCCAAACCTGTCTTTGCGGACCTTGGTAATGTGGCCTCTATATGGCGATTAGCCGGAGGAGGATAAACCACAATACCAAAATAAGAGAAGTTTTGGATAATTTAACTAAATAAAAAAAAAAAAAAAAAAAAAAAAAAAAATTGAAATTTGCATACCATTTTTAATTTTACAAGATCTACAAAATTTATAAGAAAAACTATTTATAAATATAAAAGAAATTTATACAAAAAATTCAGCTCTAATTGTATAACTAGGAAATAATGTCTTAAAAACAAGCAGGATCATGTGGTATTTATGACCATGTAACGATGTAAAAATTTAAAAATAAGTTATTATTTTTAAATCTCTCCAACCTAACTTTTTTTTTTAATAATATTCATTATATAAAAAAAATGTTGTTGTTTGAAAAAAAATTATGAATAGGAGATAAAATTAAAAATTAAATATTAAAAAAGTTAATCAGTTAACCTATTAAAAAAGTCAAGCAGAAATATAATTTTCATAAACTTTTTCGTAAAAACTTTTCATAACATTGTTATGAAAAAGTTCTATACTTAGATTTCTTTTCGCTACCTCATATCTAAAGGCTGCTTTTTTCATTAAACAGTTCAATCAGAATAATATTTTTGATATGGAATGAGTGAGATCTTATAAACTTTTGAATAAACTATTTAAAGTTGATTTATTACCAAATTATTCACGTATGAGTCATAAATGATGTCAGTAATTTTGTCTTGGTTTTTTGAACCACTTTCTCTTGTCAAAAACTGTTAATTTTTGGCTTAACCCCCCTAAAAAATGTCAACTTTTGTTCCCCCCCTTCCCCTCCTTCCTTAAATAAAATGAAAATGCGCATTTGCAATCAATTTTTTATAATATTATTTTGATATAGTGTTATTTATACTTTTTTGTTAATTTTTTTAAAATCTGCTTATAGCAGACGTAATTAAAAACTTTATAATAAATGATTTTTTAAAACTGACGTCGTTTTGGTTTCATCACCTCCTTATTATTAATTAAATTATTACTGTAAACTTAATTACTGTCAAACTTTTTAGCACCTCCTTCTCTCCCTTTTTTTTTACTGACATCATGGAGCTCAACGAAGAACAAATTTTAACTTGCAAAATTTCCAATATTCGTGATTGGAATTTAAATTAAACATTAGAAACGAGAAATATATAAAAAATGCTTTCATTATGAAAATGCATTGGTTTTAATGATTTATTCTACTATTTTATGGGACCATTCGTAAATGATGTTATTGATATCAAAATAATATCATCAAAAATTGATTGAAAAAATGCACATTTTCATTTTATTTAAGGAAGGAGGGAGGAACAAAAGTTGACATTTTATAGGGGGGTTAAGCCAAAAATTAACAGTTTTTGACAAAAGAAATTGGTTCAAAAAACCAAGACAAAATTACTGACATCATGTTTCGCTCATGAGTAAAACAAACAAATGTGAACGTTTTTAACAACATCTCCTATAATATCAAATATTCAAAGATTTCAATTTTATTTAAATTTTTACAACAGAATGTATTTTAAGAGGAGCTTAAAATACATTCTGTTAGAACCTTGTAAAATTAAAGTTATACTTTTCGATTTTATATCGCGCTTAAGAAGAGGGCATTTTACAAATATGTTTTTAAGTACATTGAGTATTCAGCATGGCTTATGCAGTTTTGAACTTTTTGTTAGCAAGTTTTAAAATTTTTGACCACCTAAGTTGATTAAATACTGCGCACCCACTGCGCACCGGGCGGAATGATTAGCTCAACTTTATTATTAACAAACAAACATGTGCCGGAGTTATGATAACAACGTGATTCAGAAACTAATTTGATTGGATGGCGAACTGCTTTATGGGATAGTTACTTCATCATTTAATTTATTTTTTTCGTTGCTTTATTTAAAAATAAAATTAAACAAAATGGAGTGATATCTGCTTTCTCTCCAAACTCGAGTGCCCTGCACTTGCTTGCACCAATATTAAAAATGACGTGAGTTTTTACTGTTAGCTTTTTATTTGCTTTTATAAAAAATAATGATATTTTTTACTTTTTATTTGATTTTATAAAAAAAAATGATATTTTTTATCACTATATTATGCTTTAAATTAGGTTTAACAATGGATTCTACACTACCTCTGGGTTAAATTTTAATCAATATATTAACAATAATGATAAAAAGCGACCAACAAGATCTGCTTTATTGCAGCAATGAAGATGCATTTAATTTTTATGGTAATGGTGATGGGTTATCAAATCACGACGAATCTATTTACGATAAATCTTCATTTACCACTAAATTTCATATACTTTCAACAGGTTAATATTTTTGTTTTATTAGACTAATTTATATTGTAATTATCTTATGATTGGATAGTATAGATTATTATTTACAAAAAGTAAAAAAAAAAATTAAAATTTTTATTGTTATTTAGCTTTAGACTTTCAATGGGTATATACAGAAAATGATGTAATTAAAAATGATTTTGGAAATTTTGAAAATGCTAAAAATCAACTTAGTAGTAATATAACTTTTCAAGATTTTATTGAGTGTGAAGAAAGCCTAAGTTCTGATTACTTAGTCAATGATATGTTTGATTTTGGATTATCATCTTCACCTGAAAGTTCGACTTCAGATGAATGGGTTGAGAACACAACTTGTATATCTCTTTTATCAGATAAAATTGATAGGTCATTTGTGGTATTAGAAAATAGAGAAATAATTTCTTCTTTGCCAATAAAAGAGGAGTATACTGTTCCAGAGTGTTCTTTTATTGATATTTCTAGTCCAGTGTCTGATGACTCGATATCGGAAGATGATTTTAGTGGCAATGCTTCAATATTGATTTCAGAGCTTCTTGGTTTAGATCAGAATCTATTACCAAATAAAAATACTAATTTTAATGTTTTTAATGCAAATATAATAAATGAAAACGAGATCTTAAAATCAAGTTTTTCCGATGAAGACTGTGTTGGCAAAAAATTGTCTTCTGAGAATATTCAGAGTGACTATAATGAACGTTACTTTAAGGCTAGCTGCGTTAGCAATGAAAATTTATGGCAAATAGAATCCAATTATAATAAATCTAGTCCTTTTAAAAAATCATTAAAAACCACTGAGCAGAAACTGAGAAAAAGAGTTCAAAATCGTAAAGCTGCCTCAAGATACAGAGACAGAAGAAAATATGTGTTAGACGACATATTTAACGGTGCTGCAGATCTTGAGAAGCAAAATAATGATTTAAAAGGAAAGGTATTAAGTCTGCAACACGAGATCAACTATTTGAAGAATTTAATGCTTGATGTTATTAAAGCTAGACTGTCAAATAAAGCTTGTTAATAGTGGAAATCGTGTTCAAAGTTTTATTTAATCATGTGAACCTTGACGTGTTCAAGTTATAATTATTTAGAATTGTTTGTTTTTTTTTAATTTGATATTGTAAAATTTTAATTATGCTCAAATCACCTATCACCAAAGCCATGATAGATTAAAACTCTTTGTATATTGTGTAAAAATGAGTTAAATCTTGATTTGTTGTCAAAAAGCAGTTTTTTCCATTTAAAATTGAATGAAAATAAAGACAAGAATTGTTATATAGTAAGTTTTTTTTTTTTAAATCATATTTTATTGCTAAATTAAATAAGCATAAAGTAGTATATTGCAGCCTTATTAAATAAAATTTCATGTTCCACTTTCAACTTTTCCATTACTCCGAAACTTTAAACTCCGAAACTTTAAAATCATAAATTCCATGTTAGTAAAATATGTAACAATTTCAACAAAGCTATTAAATATTAGTTTTTTATTTTATTATTGTTATTATGATTTAGTCTAAATATGCTCCATAATATATTCAGAAAATAGGTTTAACTAAAGAGTTTTTAATTAAGTTATAAATTTAGCCACAGTCTTAAAAAGAGAATCTATTTTTATGACTATGATTTATTTTCCGACAAATGAAAACATAAAATTTTCATCAAAGTTTTTAATGTTGGAAGTTCAAGCCGACATCAAAATAAATTTTTTTAATTTCTTAATGAATATTAAAGGATGTTATACTTTGCAATTATTTTTACAATTTCTAAATTAAAGTTAAGAACTTAATGTTATGGTCATAAAATGTAAGTTTTAGCCCGATAAATTGGCAAAAAATATCTAATTCTAATCTTAAAACTGACAATTTAGTTATTTATTATTACTTATTTTTTCAAAATTAACTTTTTTTGCTTTAGATATTGAAATGAATTTTCTAATTTTTAAGACTCGCTTTAAATTTATTTAATATTTATTATTAAACATTAATTTTGTCGCCCTAGGCTATAAAAAAATTTGCCGCCCCTTCATGCAAAAAAAAAGTGCATTAGGTCAAGGAAGCAATGCGCACTGCTTTCTTAACTCTGTATTTTTACTGAAACTATAATATAATGAATAATCATTAACTAAATAATTAGAACAATTTTCAAAGTAAAATTTATTCCAATAAATAATTACGAGTATTTTCAAAGCATGACGCTTTAATTTCATTTCTGCAAAAGATTGAGTAATATCATCATATGATATTGATTCAATTATATCAGATTCAATCAACTAAATAGCTAAAGCATTTAATTTACTGACATTTTTGACCTTAAGTAATATTTAATTCATTTGAGACTTTGAAACAAACGTTTGGCAGGAGAATTAGTCGCTGCCATACTTACTTTTAAATATTACTTATGAAATGTCTACATTAGGATATAATTCCACTAGATCATTTTTACGTAATCAAACGCACATATTAATTAATGATATATTTTTATTTTGCTCCAAAAGCAAATGTTCTCGTTGATGCAGACATTTTTCAATTATTAAGTTTTCAATGTCCTTCGAATAAGTTCTATAAAGGTAGAGGGCGTGCTTTTTTTATATCTGGAGCTTCCAAATTTCGCATGTTTATCAAAACTTAATAATTTGATGTTCTTTTTCATAAGCAGAACAGCGCTTTTCTAATTACACTACTTAAGAGAGTCTAAAATAATATTAAAAATAAACACTTAATTTAAATATACAACTCCAGTTGCCCTTTGCTTGCCGCTCTTCGCTCGTCATATGCCTTGATTCTGTGCAAACCCGTAAGCTCTTACGAGAACGTAACTAAGGTAACTGTATATAACAACCAACACAACAAACTTTACTTTACAATATTGTATAAACTTACGGTGTTGCACAGAATTGACCACATTTAATTCTCATTTAATTACACCGAACATCCGATCGTCTTACGAGCTCCGGATACCGGCTATGCTTTTTATAAAATTAAAAAAAAAAATGTTTACTAAAATTTCAGGCCCCAAAAAATATGCCGCTCTAGGCATATTTTTTCGGGCGATTTACCTATAGACCAATCAAGCCTATAGGTAAATCTGACCCTGATGAAACAACTAATTTATTCGTAAATTCAAAGAGGCAAATATTTCCGCCTACAATTTGACGGCCGCTGCCAGCTGGGAGGCAAATACCACTAAAATTGGTCTCTAAATGATTTTTTCTTTAAAATTTCATTTGGAGGCGGTCAACAATGGCTTCCGCCTACTTATTAGCGTCGGCCTCCAAAACATTTTGCTTCCAAAAAAATTTTCTGGCTGCGGCCGCCTTCAGAAAAGCGGAAGCCACTGGAGGCGGAAGAAATAACAAATAGCCGCTAAAAATATATATTTACCTATCATATATATATATATATATATATATATATATATATATATATATGATAGGTAAACTTTGATTAGCATTATTTCCGGACAAGGCCGGCGCGATAGGGGTGTGTGGTGAGGTGTGACACCCCCCATCAATGATTTTTAGTCGGCAAACTGGACCCTTAGACGGCAAATCGGACCTTTTTAGACTATGTAGTCGGCAAATGTCGACCTAGGTTTCGATATAGGTTAGACAGTCGGCAAATGTCGTAATGACAGTGGGTAAATTTTGGAAAACGAGGACCTTTTTTTTTTTTTTTAGTCGGCAAAAGTTGTAATGACACCCCCCCACGTACACGTGACACCTACTCGCGCTGGCCCTGTTTCCGGAGTCTGTCACGATAATTTTGGTCCGCCGATAAAAATGACCCCGGACTAAATTTCTCAGAAAATATATATCCGGCCGGATAATTTTTTTCTGAAAAAATTGGTCTGAGCTAGAAAAAATTGGTCCGTGTTATGCATGTGCGCATATATCTTTTAAATTATCATGGAAGACGACCTTGTTCAAAAAGTTTTTACTTATTTAAGTAAAAAGCAATACCCTGATGGAAGTCTAGAAGGCGAAAAAAGAGTCATTAGAAAAAAAGCCTTAAAGTTTATGATTTCGGAAGGTGGGGAATTACTATATAAGTATAAAAAGAAAGACATATTGGCAACAATATTTATATAAATACACACTCACTATTATTATTATTATTATTATTATTATTATTATTATTATTATTATTGCTATTATTGTTATTATTATTATTATTATTTTGTTATTATTATGTTTTTAAGTGATAGTAATATTATGTAAATACATGTTTAACTACTTTACTATCATTATTACTTATTATTGATTATTGATATATTTTAGCTTTAATTTTGATTTGATGTTTATTTTTATTTTGATAATGAGTATTAATATCATATTATTGTTACTGTTATTATTTTCATTGTTGTTAATAATATTAATAATATAGATGTGTTATATTTTCAAACTATTTTTTACTTTATTTGTATAACTGTTTGATAGCTTAACTATGTTTATATCTTTAACTATGTTTATTGTATTTGTTAGAAATTTATTTTATACTAGTATATATATTATTTTAAATATCCTTGAAATGTTAACAACTAATTTCAGAGTATATTTAATTTGATTTGAACAAGGTAATGAACAAATACTGACAATTCAATGCTTGATTTATCAATATTTATTCATAACAATTATTTATTCTAAAATAAACAGCAGTTAATATTGTTCATTATTGAGCCTAATTCATCAAATTTAATCTAAATTTGAAATTTCTGCAATTTGAAGTTAAGAAATCATATTCAAATTAATATACATGTAACATATAACATAGCAATATAGCTCAAAAAAATAAAGTTCTAATTTGTTTTTATTTCTGCTTTGCAACTTTAATTGATTTTTATATTTATCTGTATTTTTTGCCATAGCTTATTGATGACATAGTTTTAATAACTGAATATAACAAAATAAGTTATAGAAAAATATCATTATCATTTTAGTGTCCTTGTTTCTTTCCTTGTATGGGCTGGATGTTTCTTATAATGCCGTGTCTCTAACATACACTTGAACATTTTTTTTCCTGAAATGTAGCTTTTTCAAATCATCTGAAACTCACTCTTTCCAAGTTTTTATTTTTCTACCTCTACCTTTTTCTCCTGAAACTTTTAACTTTTTACATGTTGATAACCAGTCATCTGCACTTTTTTACATGTTGATAACCAGTCATCCTTACGCTCTACATGCTCAAACCACCTCAATCTTCCCTGATGCACCCTATCAGATACACTCACCATGCCTAATCTTTTTCTTAAATCATCACTGCTTTTCTTGTCTTTTAGAGTCACACTGCACATCCTTCTAATCATCATCCTTTCTATCCTTTCCAAATGCTGAACATCATCAACCTTGATTGCTTTTAGTTTCTTTTTCATTCAATTAATTCTTAGTAGCCCCTCCCCCTCCCCTCTTTAATGATAGAGACCTAACTCTGACTTACTCTGAAGCAAATCTTACTCTTGGCCTAGATGCTTCTTCTGCTCTTCCAGCTGGTCCAATTGTATCTCCAAGATAAAAAAAATTTAATAACACACTCTATCTTTCCTCTACTTTTTATTTCAACCACTTTTTTAACTTACTCTATACTCACCAAAAATACATTTTCTACACTCAAAATCAACAATCTTAAAAGAGCCTTGTACCACCACATCTCTTATGAACCAATTGCCTACAAACTGTCTAAATAATAAAATTTTCTTTAACTCCATACCTACACACTCCACATGACACTCCACTTCCTAGTATTTTTTGCTTGTTCATTCTTGACTGTACAGTGCATAACTTTTGTTTTATTCATGTTTATCTTGAGCCCTTTAGCTTCAATTCCATCTTTCCAAATTTCAAATCTTAATACTAATTCCTCTTCTGTTTCTGTTTTCTGCTATCAGACACAAATTATCTGCACAGAATAACTCCCACGGTAAACCAACTCTGAACTCTTTAGAGAGAGCTTCTAAAACAATAATAAAAAGCAAAGAACTAAGTACTGAACCCTGATGCACACCAACTTTTACTTTAAAACTATCATTCTGTCCATCTCTTGTTTTGATTGTTGTTGTGACATTTTCATACATAGCCATGATGACTGCCACTAGCCATTCTTGAATACATAAACACTAACAATTATAAATTAATACTTCTATGCAATGTTGTTATTTAAAGGAACTATTTCTGCGATACATCATAAATCATGATGAGAGAAGAAAAATATTAGTAGCTTGCCATGTTCATCCTACTTCTGGCTATATGGGTAAAACAAGGACATTAGGCAGGGTAAAAGAGCGTTTCATGTGGCACGGAATGGTAAAAAATGTCCATGAGTTGGTAATTTACATTTTGCATTATTATGCGTTAGAGTAAATACAAAAAATTTTGATTTTCCCTAATAATTTATAATAAAGTATTGCTATACCATTCTATTCTGTTTCAGCTTATATCATGTGATGTATGCCAGAGAATGAATAGAAAGTTAAACTGTGGAAAACCAGAGACGCACCCAATAAAGGTAAAAGCTCCATGGTATATGGTTGGCATAGATTTTATTGGCCCACTCAGTCCAATTAGTGAAGATGGTTGTAGATACATTTTAACTAATAGCCACTAAAGACAAAATGGCAGTTACAGCGGCAGGATGTCTGTTCAAGGTATTACATTTTTATTTCTGTCATTGTTTTAGCATCCTTGCTAAATGCTACCTTTCTGGGTATCAAGTTTTTGTGTCCAAATAGTTTGCAACTTTACATTCTATATTTCCAAACAATCTTAAAATTCCCTGATAATCTCAACTTAATACACTGATTTTCTCTCCAATTTCTTTATACATAAATCTATTTATATATGAAAATTTATTACAAAAATATATCCCTAAACTTATATGTAATGAAACTATTTTGGATATCCGAAAAAACAAAAAATAGAGAAAATATCAGGAATTCCAGAAATATCCAGAAATATCTAGATAATCCTTGAACATTATTATTTTTTTTGTAACTTCTATTTTTATTTTTTGATTTTGTCTAAAAGAGAAAAGGCATCAATGGCAGAGTCAGCCCAAATGTGATAATTACACTTATGATAATTGTTGCTAATGTTGCTCTTTTTAATTTCTAACCTGAATTATTCTCTTAATTCACATGCTTGTCATTTCTTTTCAGCTTTGAAAATATCCCTATAAATTTATTTTACATACCACTTTCTTTCTGATCAATAAATTTCTTAAACTTTAATAAATTAATTCCATTGAAAAAAAAAAAAAAAATTACACTTAATGAAGATAAAATAATAATATAATATTATATCTTTCTGAAGAGTTCAAATGTGATGATCTTGAAAAGGAATCTGATGGTGTATTTGTTAGGATACACTAGGGAAAATTAAGTTGGTTTGGGTATGTAGAGCGTAAAGGTGCTACTGATTGGGTATCAGCATTTAGAGAGAAGTTTTATAAGAAAAAGTGAGGTAGGTAAAGAAAATTTTTGAAAGAGTTAAAGAAAGACGATGCACAAGATTGATGAAACGTGCAGTAGCGGATTTAGTATAAGGCATGGGGGAGAGCTGCCACACACACACACACACACGCACACTCCCTAGAACAGGGAGAACGACGCCCTTTAAAACATTAAAAAATATGTATGTAATATGTATGATAAAAGTCATGTAAAACCAACAACAACAACAAGCTATTTATTTTATGTTTATCATTTTACAATAGTTTTGATAATAATAATAATAATAGTAATAATAGCAAAAATATATAATAATAACATAAGATAAAAATACCACCAGAGTTGTTAGTCCTTGGGCTTGACCTTAACCTTGGCTTTTCATTAAGGCCAAAAATTGAAGTCTTGGCCTTGAAACTGTTAGCCTTGGTCTTGAAAATTTTTGCCTTGGCCTTGATTGTTTTGGCCTTGGCCTTAAAAAAAATACATATTTTCTAATTGATTTCTAATTGATTAAATTCTTCCCATAACCTTAGTCTATTTTTACAAAATGTGGTTTTCTTGTCACTGTACTTGTTGCTTACATAAATACCTTCTTAATCAATAGTTTAAAATGTTAATCAGGGCAAGAAGCACCAAAACAGAGTTTCTACAATTATTTTTATTATTTTTTTTGAATTATATATTATTAAAAAAAAAATTTAATATTAGTAAAATATTGATTCGAAATGTGATTCGAAACGCAAATCACGATCTGCTTTGATTAAAGATTTGGTTCAAAACAAAAAATGCTGATTTGCGGGGCTCTAATGTATATTGTACTATTATCATAAGTCTATTATTCAGGTTTTCATGAGGTTGGGAATGCCAAGAGTTTTGCTGTCAGATAATGGGACTGAATTTTGCAATGAACTTACTAATACCCTTAATGTATTGCTTGGTATAAAGAAAAGGCTCACAACTCCATATCACCCACAAGTAAGTTAAGTGTTAATTTATTGTTAGTGAATAGGTTAATAAAGAAATAAGATAATAATATCTCAAGTTATTTGTTTAATTAGGTTAATTAGTTTAAATTATTTAAATTACAAAACAATTTGTTTTCCATTTAAGGCTAATGGACTTGATGAACAATTTAATCAGACTTTGCAGAATATGCTAGTAAAATATGTATCCTCCAAAAATGAGTCTTTTTCTAGATATCTGTGCATTTGCGTACAATACATCTTGTCATGATTCCACAAAGTTCACACCTTTTCAATTGATGTATGGTTGACAAGCATATCTTCCAATTGATGTAGATTTCCAGACAGAATCTTTAGAAGAATTAAGTTCAAATTATTTTAAATTAAAGGAGCCAGACATATTGCAAGGAGAATAAAAATTAGTTTTAGAAGAAGCTGAACAAAATATTTTAAAAGCTCAAGTTAAGCAAAAAAAAAATTATGATAAAAAAAACTTAAAATCTGGGGTCTTTAAAGTCAATTCATTGGTTCTAAAATTAAATCATAGACGTAAAAAAACCAAAGGAGGTAAGTTAAATGATAGATTTGTAGGCCCATATAAAATACTTAGTTGCCTTCCTCATGGAGTATACAAACTTCAAGATAATAAAGGCGTTACAATTCGTGCTACTGGTGGTCATCTTAAAATCTACAAACCTTCAGGTCCTACTTTACAAAATTGCAAAACATGCTCTTCTGATAAAGAAGTTCTTGATAATCAATGTTTTGATGATGAATCATCAGACTCAATATCAACTATTGAATCATCAGACTCAATATAAGAAAATGAACCAATTAATGATAACTATGAGGGTTTAAATAAAACTCCTCCAAAATCTAGTACCCCTGGTAATGGCTCACCTTCAGTAGATGCACTAAACTATGCTAATGAGTGCTTAAAAGAAAATGTAAATAGTTTCACTATTGATGATACACATTCAGAAGTTAAAATAAAAGATGAAATCCACCCAATGAATTTGGTTTGTTCATGCCAAAATAGGTGTGCTACAAGGCTATCCCCTTGCAAACAGTTTGGTGTGGTATGCAAGAGTCATTGTCATCCAAATAGAATATGTTTAAATAGACAGGAAGCTTTTCAAGCAGAACTTATTTGTCTTGAAGAAGAAGTATACGCAGAAGAAGAGACCGTTTCTATTGGTGATTATGATTTTACTCATATTAGAAAAGTAGCACTTTCAGTAGATGATAAAAATATTTTGATAAATGGTGATTGGCTAAATGATACAATTATTTATTCCGGAATGCAAATGCTTAAAGATGCTTTTCCTAATTTATCAGGGTTTCAAGATCCTGTTTTACAGTTAACAAATAGTTTTGAGGTTCAAAAGAATAAAGTATTTATTCAGTGTCTGAATTACAATGGTATGCATTGGATCACTATTGCTACATTAGGCTGTACACAGGGGACTGTCAGGGTTTATGACAGCTTGCATAATAAGTTGAGTTGAAAATTTTAGTTTTTTAGTGAGAGTGCCAACAAGTTAGATTTGAAAGTTTTAGTTTTTTAGTAAGAGTGCCAACAAGTTGGATTTAAAAGTTTTAGTTTTTTAGTAAGAGTGCCAACAAGTTAGAGTTAAAAGTTTTAGTTTTTTAGTAAGAGTGCCAACAAGTTAGAGTTGAAAGTTTTAGTTTTTTTAGTAAGAGTGCCAACAAGTTAGAGTTAAAAGTTTTAGTTTTTTAGTAAGAGTGCCAACAAGTTAGAGTTTTTATTTATTAATATTTTATTTATCTTTTATTTTTACCATTATAGATTATAAACAAGCTGCGAGTCTGATGCTTTTTTTATTTTTTATTTATTTAGGTTTTAATTATGTTTAAAATATGCTTATGGTTTTTATATTCAATTAATATTTTATTTCTTTAGTTCTACTTTTCGTTTAAATTGCATTGAACTACCTACTGTTGAAATATGGTTTCAATTTGGTAAATTTTAATGATTTGAAATTTATTATATTAACCATTAGCCAATAGTTAAATAAAAGAAATTGAATTAAACATAATCAAGGTAAAAACACTTTATTAACTGGTAACGTTGTTGATCAGTTTAATGTTTTTTGTCGATATATTGTACTTGTGATGTTAATAATACGTTTTGTTAAAGTTAAGATGATATTATTTTAATTATTTGCTTAATATATTTTAAGATTTTAAATATTTTCAAAATGGTTTGAATGTAGTACATAAAGGTTTAAAAACGGAAATAAAAAAGTTAGGCTGTCTAAATAAAATACAATTTTAATAAAATTATGTGTAGAAAATTTAAAATTGTGTGATTGCTTGCTTACAAGATCCCCTTAATCTATTTGCTAAGCACATTTATCGATACAAGTTTAATGAATAGATTACAAGATTAGAGAAATCAAGTTTAATGAATAGATTCACGGCTATCTAAAACACAGGCCTATTAATCGTGCAAACCGTAAAAATAACTGGAAGCCAATTAACTAAGAAAAAAGGTTATTATCGTTGCTTAAAATTAGAAGAAAAAATATTTCTTGAGGCTTATTATGCCTTTAAAGTGAAAAGTGTTGCGAATCGCTCTACTAACTATTTAACAGATAAAAAAAAGTGTGCTGTTTACAGATTACCAAAAGATCCAGAAGAAAGTAGAAAGTGGCCAAGAAGCAACATTCCTGAAAGCAAATACCCTTATATGTTTTGAACATTGGCCTGTAAATTTCGAAAAAATAAATGTTTATAAGCATAAATGTTAATGTAACACATAAATAAAACTTTTTGTCTTAGTCAGCTTAAAGCACCTCATGATGAAGAAAATCATGGAAATTTGGCTTTGGTACAGCTCTTGGCCAAATATGACCCATTTTTAGCTTCTCATCTCTCCATGTGTCAAGAGATTAATTAAAAGAATAGAAAAACTGAAACGTCAAGGTAAAACCGACAGTAAAGGTCGTGGTGCTATGGATACGTTTTCATGTAAGACTACTATATCAAAGCTTCTCAATATTATGAAAAATATGATGCAGGAACAGATTGTCCAAAGTGTCCAAAGCAAAATTGTATTCCGTACGAGTTGATTCTACACAAGATATATCTGCAATTGACCAATTCAGCTTTGTCGTTTGCTATGTTTTAGATGCTACTGTGCATGAACGGCTGCTTTCTATTGTACCAAACACTGACGGTACTGGACAAAGCATGTTCGATCTCTTAAATTTGACGCTAAAGCGGCTTGGCTTTAATTTGCAATACTGCCTATCGGACACCACTTATGGTGCTTCAAGTTATCATGGCCAGTACAACGGACTGTAACAAAAGATTACAGAAGCTGCAGACCACCATGTACATATTTGGTGTTATGCTCATGTTCTCAATTTAGTTGTGAAGGAGGCAACCAGTTGCTGCATTCAGGCAGTTTCATTTTTTAACCTTTAGCAAAATGTTTCAACATTCATAAAAGTGTCATATAGGCGAATGGCGACTTGGATTAAACTTGATGAAACACAAATTGGAATGGATAAGATAAAAAGATTGAAGTTGATTGGTCGGGTAAATCAAATACTGCAACGGCGATATTTGGAACATTTGCTGCGCCGTCTTCAACAGTGTTTGTCAATTTAGTTTTTTGTCCGTCTTTTATAAGCGAATCAAAAAATTTTGATGCAAAAACACGTCATGAAGCTAAGACATTCCTCATGCCATTCCTGAAATTCGATACCATTTTGACTGCCTTTACATACCTGCACATTTTTGAAAAAGTGGGATCACTTTCAATATACCTGCAACTCGTGGATAAAATGTGTTGGTTGCATTCAAGATGGTGGATAAGGCTGCAATTGAATTGAAAAGTCAATCAAGATTTTTTGATGATGTTCATAATAACGCTCTTCAATTTGTACGGATAGCAAACGCAAGCATCATCCAGAAAACTGAAACCATATTAGAGGTGAAGACAGAACTAGCTGTTAAACGGAAGCGGAAGACACAAATGATGTTAGATGATCATACATGACGAATATAAAGCTTTGGAACCCTACAGAATTCCCACTTACAACGCGGTGATGGATCAGGTAGTCCAAAGTCTTGAGTCACGTTTCACTTCACTTTGACAATTATATATGGACATGACATATTTTGATACAACAGTTTACCCAGCATTATCAAATTTTTACCAGATGCCGATGTTGATAAAATAAAGGCCAAACTGTTGTCATTTGTGATTAACTATGAGATTTTGAAATTATCTTGGTCATTAACGACAATATTGAGAGAGAATGCAGATGATCCAGATTAACCGCGTTGTTATAAAAATACTAATAAAGCATGTGGATCGTGTCGATCTTATGTGTTACGATTTCTTGCTGCATATAGACTCAACGACAAAACCTATGACAATTTGTATCATAATTACAAAAAAATATATACTAATTTTGTAACACAAACCAAAGGTGAAAAATCGTTTTCTAACTTAAAGTTAATCAAGATAAGATTGCGAATGTCCACTTAGAGTTGTATATGTTGACGTCTTTAGAAAAAAGTCTACTTGATAGCCTTGAGTATGATACGATCATTCAAAGATATGCATCTTCGTCCTCTAAATTGTGCAAACTGTTATTAAAAATAGTTATTGCTATACTTTGCACTGTGAAAATTGCACATCACTTGTACTTTTTTAATTCAATCTAATTTTATTACTCTGTGATTTAATTGTTTCTCTCAGGACTTATTTTTCGAAAATTGCGGACCGGGCAGTCTTTGTAATATATATACAGCCAGTCCGGTAATATATATACAGCCAGTCCGCTACTAGTGTCATGTGTAGAGTAAAGCTGAGAAAGGTCTGAGATAACTTGGAGCTACTTTGACATGTGGATAGCATTGACATTTATTAGATTAAATATTTTTACCTGTTGACTATTGTTTAATTATTTTACCATATGTTATGTTTATTTGATATGTTACCATACCAAATAAACGAACATAACTATTTTTACTTGTATTTTAGTATAAATAAAAGCATGATACATAAATTAATTACATTTAACTGTGGGCATAAATTAAAATAATTTCTTGCTTTTTTAGTAAACATTAGGATATGGATATTGAATGCCAAAACGCCCCCAAAAATACTCTAATTTTTTCAATAATGGTGCGCTGAATCATTTCAGGTACACATATAAACGTTATCTTACAAATTTAACAAAATCCTTTGACAAAGTCCAAAGCTATGGAATCAATGAGGAACTTTGCGCATCGATCAAAGCATGGCTATTAGGAAGATAACAGACAGTCATAACCAGAGAACATGCCATTGGGAAAATGTTGCCACCAATGACCCTAACGTACGCTGCTAGTAATATTTTTGTTGCAATGTTCCATTACATTACAAGGCCATTACAAATAGTAATAATCTTAAAACCGACAAACCTGTTCGGTTTTCAGACCATTACTGTTTGTTTTAATCTTCCAGACAAATTTAAACATCAGATCAAGTTTTACAATAATGATAATGCAGTCATAAAGTTATTCCTGGACGCGGGTTTCATGCAAGCAGACATTCAAAGCCCTTCAAATCGAGAAGTATAATAAGATATGACTATGCCGGGTCTATGCATCTATGCGGTCTATGTATCATATATGCAAATTTTTTCTATTAAATATGAAAAAGCTATAAAAGATCATAGAGTATGAATGAGCCAACCATTATTCTTTGGAGAAATTGATTTCATAAAACCTAAAGAAAGATTTAACAACTCGTTAAAAAACTATGATCATATCCATTTTACTATTTTACACTCATTATGTCTAAATTTGTTATCAATTTATAAATTTAAGTTAAAAAATCAAAAATTGATTTACACGGACCAAAAATTTTACCAAAAATTTTGGTCCGTTTTCAAAACTGCAATATTTGTGCGAAATTTTTGAAATATTATCACGGATCATTTTTTTCAAGGTGGACCAAAATTATCGCAAAAATTTATCCGGCCGGACCAAAAATTTCAACGAAAATATTGGTCCGGGATAAAAATTTTCGCGGACCAAAATTCCAGCGGCAAGTCACCTCTAGTTAAATGTTTAAATTTTCAGCTTGATTTATTTTTCTCATAATTCGTATCGCAATTCTGAGATACATATTGGCATTTAAATTTTTTTCATCTTAAGCGCTAAAAGTTGTAATCATTTGGGAGGTACGCGGAGAAATTTTTTAAGAAACAGAATAACGTAAACACGAAAATGGTTATTTGCAAGTTCAAGCCGTTTTTTGTTATTTTACGTTAACCTAAGGACTAGTAATCTGTTCTAAAAATTAAAATTCATCTACAAGAGATGTTTGAAATTTTTTCTATTATCAGTGGTTTAATAATAATTTTAATAACAGCAATATTTTTAATCTACAATTCTAAAAAGAAGCAAGTAGTTCACGATAAAAGTAGTGCCTTATTTAAGAATCTTTCGAAAGAAGAGCTTTTAAAAGCAAGGTTGGATTTTTACAGTAGATCTCCAGTTTTAAATTACAAAAATGAAAAAGGTTTGGAAGAAGAATCTACTTCAAATTCACCTGCAATGAATGTTAGGGAAAATATTAATAATAGAGATCTTCAAACATTAAATAAAGAAGAAAAGAATGTAGAAAAAAATGATGAAAAAAAGCAAGTAGTTTATACAAAAAGTAGTAGTTCATTAAAAAATCCTTTGAAAGAGGAACTTTCAAAGACTAGTTCGGAATTTCATAGTAGATCCTTGGTTTTCAGCAACGAAAACGAAGAAAGTTTAAAAGAAAAATCTTCCTCATATTCACCTACAAATGTTGAAGAAAATGGTAATAATGAACCTCATCAAAAATTAAACAAAAAAGAAAGGAGTGTAGAAAAAAATGATAATAACAAACAACAAAATGTTGATAACAATTTAAAAAAACTAAAGGAATTTTCTAAAAAAAGTCAGCAAAGTAACGAAATAAGTCTTAGAGATAGTGCAAAGAAAAGTAACATCAACGAGGTAAGAGAAATAGGTATTTTTTTTATACATATGTGTGTGTGTGTGTGTGTGTGTGTGTGTGTGTGTGTGTGTGTGTGTGTGTGTGTGTTTAATAACATTGGGTACTGTTTTGTAAAATACATTTCTAATTATTCATATATAAATAAAAATTATTAAAAACACTTATAAATAATTATAAATGTAAAAATATGTGTAAAAATAATTATATTGTAAATGTAATTTGTACACAAATAATTATAAATGTATTTTACAAAACATATATATATATATATATATATATATATATATATATATATATATATATATATATATATATATATATATATATATATATATATATATATATATATATATATATATATATATATATATATATTATACAAACTGTACTTGTTGTCTGAATCAAATAAATAAATATGTTTTTGTGAACAGGTTCTGTAGTCTGTTCACTTAGTATTCTAAGAGGTAACAATGATCTGTTGAGATCATTGGTAATATTAACCTGTTGAGTCCTCAATAGATCATTGTTACCTATCAATACTTACATTGCATATGTCTACCAAATAACACAAAATATTGTAACAGATAAATTCGCCAAATTATTAGTTGATTTAAACTATTGCGAATGACACTAGCCAATCAACCCCATGTTGTTAAACAATTGTTGGCACCATTTTAATAGGACAAATGTTAGATTTTTTTCCCAAACTGATGCGCTTTCTTTGATATTTGCATGCTGTGGTAAATACTTGTCTCTTGCTCTTTATTTTGTTAAGCTTCATATCAAAAAAGTGCGACTGCACAAGTCACTGGTACTTACTATTTGATCTTCATTATTAATTCTGCATAGAGTGTTTTTTTTTCTTGACAGCAGCTGATTTGTATGGTTTATATTCTGTATTTATTAGTAGTAAAGGTTTAACTTCCATTATTTACTACCATTTTAATAATTCTTATCTTATAAGTTTTAACAGAAGCTGAAATTGTTATTCTTCTTTAATGACAGCAAAAGATTTTAAAGTAGATTTTTTTTTACCTTTAAAATTTTATGAAAGTGAATAAAATGATTCTGAAATTTTTTTTTATTGTCTAAAAAGCTCATCTTTTTATTTTTTTTTAATTTTTTTAAATATTTTTCAATCATAAAAATGATTCAGAAAAGTTTTTTTTTCTCTAAAAAGCTCAATTTTAAATTCTAATAGTTATCATTTTTTCATATGTTGTTTTCATGTTCTTAATAATTTTTTATTTGCAAGCTGTGTAGAATCATTTTATATTTTATCTTTTCTGTTTTCTTAGATCAAGCTAGTTTTGTGTTTTATCAAAAATATTTATCTTGGCCTCTCTCAGAATTATTAGAGGTTGAAATCATTTTAATTAAAAGCTACTGGGAAAAAAAATGGTTCTGACCATCATATAGAACTTTAATTTATATTAAAAAGGCAAATGAATAAAAAAATATTCAAAATCAAAAATATTTTTTAGTTTTTGTCTGTTAAAAATATATTGATTAAACAAATTGACTGAAAAAATTTATTGCCTTTTCGTGATAATGGGAATTTAGGTGTAAAGAATGAGAAAGCAAAAAAAAAAAAAAAAAAATCATGGCATTCTGACATTAAAGGCAATCCATGGCGATTCCTTAACTCAACTTATACAAGCAAGTTAAGGTTCCACATAAGTAAAAAAATTTCATATTTTTCAGATACATAAGTATCTTTGAAATGAGAATTTATTTGGTGAGTTATATTATTAGCAGGAATATTTTTTATACTTTATAAATGTTTATTTATAATTATTCAACATGTTTCATTCTGAGAAATTTTTATAAAAGTTTTTATATTTAAATCGCTTCTTTTTAATTGACAACTGTTGATAAAAACACTATATATTGTATGGAAAGTTTTTGAATATTTAAGTTTTTAAATACTTTAGTATTTTAAAACTAAAAGTTTTAAAATACTTGAAATTTTTTTTTTAACTTTTTTACATAGATATTCATATTTTTGTTCATCTAGTTTTATATTGTAATTTTCATTATTAAATAATTTTTAATGTGTAAATCTATATAGCAATGCTTGACACAGTACTCTTGGCATCCATTGCAACTGAGGTTATGATGAGAAAGAATCACAGCACTTTTTTACAGTGCATAGTATCAATTCATAACATATGTAAAGATATTATTCACTGTAACAGGCCTTCGTACTTCGTGTGCAGTCATACACTTTATATGACCATGCATATAATACTTTTTTTTGACAACTTGGCCACGCCTCTTTGCAAATTTTGATAATTAGCGCTTTTAAAAAATGCATATCAAAGACGATTAGTAAATTTATTCAATTTTTATTTTTTAAAAACTTTTTTTTATGCATTTGTGAAGTGCGTGCAAACTAATGATAAATGCATAATAAAAAAATAACCTTACTTAGAGAGCCTATATAATCAGAGAGCCGACATACAGAAAATACGGAAGAACGGCGGCCATGTTTTTGCCAAACTAGCATATGACATTCACGAATTCAAGTAAAAACAATTGAAAGAAAATGAGCACAATAATATTTTCAACAGAAATATATTTTTAAAAATAAACCTTTTTATGTTTTATTTTTTCAAAATTATTTTTCGACCAAATTATTTATTTATTTAGGAAATGCCTTTATAAAACACAGCAAAAATGTAGTTGTAATCAATAAGTAATTTGAAAAAAGCTTTACAGTTTATTTTATAAATTAGTTGAACCTAAACCTTTAGTGCTAATGCATGCATTGTCATACTCTTGCTGCCAAGTTCACAAGAACCTTTTTTAGTTTTTTTCTTTTTACATAATGAACGCTTTTTTTTAAGGCTAAATATTTTAAGTCTGAATGTTATAAACCTGTTTTTTAGCTTCAGTTTAATTTGATGACAACTCGGATACAAAGTTAGATTTTTAATTTGTTCATCAGAATTAATTTTCTCTAAAAGCATAGTATTACAATTCTTTTGGGAATTAAGGTATGGCTCAAATGATCTGAATATTAACTCCATTTGTAAAAAGAATGCAAATGTTGTTTCATTAGCAAAAAATAAACTACCCACTTTGTGCTCTTTGTCTGTAACAAACTTTGTGTAATCAGCATTAACTCTATTTTTAGAAACTAGAGATTCAAAACAAATTATGCAAACTTTTTCAATTTTTTTAACTCTCGAAACTATATAACCTGCAATATGAAACAAAAATTTTGCTCAGCATTACTTAAGATTAAGTTAGAGGTTTTATCCCAACCTTTAGGTAACACAATGCACTCTCTTTGCTGTGGCTTATGCACCTTACTATTAACTATATCAAGAAAACCAGATAAGAATTGACGGTCATCTATATCATAACTGCCTTTTAATGATTTTTTCAAGAATTGGGCAACGCAAATAAGTTTCAAATTATTTTTAAATTGAAGAGCAGTAAGAATTACTTGTTTTGCACGTACCAGGGAAAAAAGATTCTTCAGGCAATCCTGCGTAAATTGTGATGTCATTAGAAAATCAAACTTTTTTTCTAGAAGAAACTTATTTTGCAAGTTAATAACTGATGTTGTTGATAATATAACACCAGATTGAATAGGTTTCCACCTTATTTTTACAGTTTGGCCTGATATTTTTAAACCATTGAATATCTCTATGATTTCATTTTAAAAAGTTATTGTTTCATTGTAAACTTTGTCATTTTTCATGCTAAGAGCCATACCTGGGTTTCGTGAAGTCATTAATGTAAACCATTTATCAACAATTCCTATAAACCAAGCAGTTGTGAGAATAGAATCATCTTTTATTTCACTTGCAATGAATTTTAATCCACAACTTACATCATGATTCATCACAGATGTTGCTCTTGATACTTTCATTTTGTTGAAATGTTTTTCATCAAGATGTTCAGATGTAAGCTTGTAAGCAAACTTCAAATCCATACCTTTCTTGAAAGTCTACAAGCTTGTTAATGTGTTTTGAATCTATAATTGGCGATTGAAGTTTATATTTTTCTTGAATCTTAGCTGTTATTATAAAATGTTTGTTACATAAAAGAGATGTTCTTATATTCTTTAATAAATGTGGTACGTCTGCTAAAAAATCAATTGTACGAGTAGGGTCACACAGTAGGGTGTTTAATTGAACTAGAAATACTGCGACTTTTAGTACAGCTAATATTAAAAGATTTCCACATTGCCTGGTTAATGGCACCCATATCAGAAGTAACACTATTAACTTTTAATCCTATTTCTTCAGTATACTTTATTATAGATATGACAATGTTTTTTAAAACACCCCCATTAACAGAACTTCCAGTATAATAATATGCAACAGTTTGTTTCCATCTTGTAGATATTCCTCCAAGCATAAAAACTAAAGCATGGTTAGCTTGGCCATAATGTTCAGGTAATGTAACAACTCCATAGTAATAGCTTGTAGATGTGTCATAGTCAACACTTTCAGTTATTGACATTTCATCAAGAATTAAAACACATTCTTATTCATGGGTTTTCATGGCATTCACCTTAGTTTTCATAAACTCAAAGACTTCTGTTAGAATGCCACTTTTAAATTTTAGATTTTCTAATCTTCGTCGTAGGGTACGTAATGATGGGTATGGTAAGTTTAAACGAAGTAAATTTTCATAACCACTTTGACCACATGTAAATTTGAGTTCTAACGCTTCATTTATAGTATCATTTGACCATTTAATGAATTTCATATTTTTTCTACTTAAGGATAAAATTTGATCTTCTTTAAATATTGTTTTCAAAACTCTAAATTTATCTCTCTTTATATGATTATATTTTTGAATAGTATTTATTCTTGCTTTCGATTTTAAAATGTTAATTTTTTTTTTTTTGATTAATGACTTTTTTTTCTAATCTCCAATTTCGCATTTAAATCTTGTATAAGTAAACTTTTATCAACCTCAGTTGTGCAAAGTGATTTAGATACTTCATTGTTATTTACTTCAATTAAAATATTTTCCACAACTTCTCCACTTTCTATACAACTTATTTTCTTTTTTTTGGTATTGGAAAGGCCTGTTATGGCAGCCTACTGTAGCACAACCAGGCATACTTTTACAAATATTTAATACAAATTTAGTAGTAGACTTTAATCGCAGTTAGTGTTTTTGGCAAAAAGATGGCGTCTAAAATCATAAAAATCGAACAACCAATGAAAAACGATCACACGTATGTCCGCTCTCTGAGTATATAGGCTCTCTAACCTTACTTCACTTTAAGGGAAAATAAGAAAATTAAAAAAAAAAGAAAATTAAAAAAAAGCATACAAAATTTTATTTATAATAAATGCATTTGTTTTAAATTTTTAATGTTATTGGTAATTACTTAAAAGAAACCATGCCTAAGCATTATGATCACTTTCTTCAATAAAAGAAAGCAATCATGATGTTTAAGCATGGTTTCCTTTAAAGTAATTGCAAAAGTATTAATTTTAAGTAAAATTTGGCATGCTTTTCTAAGCGCATGCAACATCCATGCTAAAACATAATTACTTTCTTGATTAGCATACTTAGTTATTTTACATAAAAGTAACGCTATTGAAAAAAGTAATTATGCTTTGACATGGTTTTTTTCAAAGTCTCTGAAATTAATTATTTTTTATATAAATATTTGTCTTTTATAAAAATAAAACTATTAATTGAAAATTATTTGGAAAAATAATTGAAGTGATGTGTTCATTTTGAAAAATCTTAATGAAAGGCCAACATTTGTTTTTTTGTCTTTTTTTGACAAATGTGTGCACAATTCTTGATTTGTCGTACCCTGTATCCTATTAATTTTATAATAAAATTTAAAATTTGGACCACAAAATTTTATTAAATTTCATGGCACTTTTAAACAGCCTATTTTACTTACGTTTTTAAACATCATACTGTGTTAAGTATATGGATTTTTAAAAAAATAAATAAAAAATCTAAAGTGAGGGGTGGGGTGAGGGTGAGGGGGGAGATGTCCTCTTCGCCATCCCCTCACTATGGATTGTATCAGCCTATTTATTCATGGGAGGGAATGATTGAGCTGTGTTAATTTTTTTTTTGTTTTTTGCTTATAATTTAGTTTACATTAAATAATGTTTAAGTTTTTCTGCTTTTTCTACTATTTATTTTGTTAATCTTTAAAATTTTTATTTTTTTAGTTTAATTTTTGTTAATTTAGTTTAATTTAAATTTTTTTAATTTTATTCTCTTTTTAATTTTAGTTTTTTTTTTTTCAGTTTATGGATTATTTATTTTACTTTAAATTATTTTTAAAAGCGCAAATTATCAAAACTTGCTAAGAGCTGTGGCTAAATTGTCAAAACAAAGTATCTTATGCATGGTCATATAAGGTGTAGGACCGCACGCCTCTTATGCGAAGGCTTTTGTACCAAACGAAAATAAGAGAGAGTTTTTGAAAAAGTATAAATTTTTTAAAAACATTAAAAAACATGTAGAAAATTGTTGCGCGTATGTCAAGATAGTTATGTTATTTATGTGCTCAGGTGATTAGTCCTAATAAGCAGCTTATAGAATGGTCTATAAAAAAAGTTATGGTCTGAAACTAAATATAGAAAAAAAATAATAAGCCCATTCTACTACTTCAGAAAGTGCTGATGTGGAGACAAAAAAAAAAAAAAATCAGCAGGTAGCTAAAACTTAAAAATCTTTTTGCTATATTTCTTTGCTATAAATATCCAGATTATAAAAATTAAAATGTTTTGTATTAAGTACAAATACATACATACCTGTGACCCATTTTCCTGGTCACGGAGAACTAGCTTTCAACCATTAATCACACTGATGAATTTTTGAAATTTTATTTTTTTAAGGATAGAATTTTGAAAAAAAGAGAGAGAAATGTCACGCAATTACCATCTATGTTAAAGATACATATGATAAATGTTTACAAAATCGATAAGGTTAATCTGTGCTTTTAGGGCATTTAAAAGACAATTTTTTTTAGTAGAAAGTAGGAAGGTGTTTTCAATAAATTGAGACAAATAAAGTGTGCATATTTATTTTTTTGCTTTAAGAGTAATGTTTAAATGAATTTTTTTCTACCTTTTATTCAAATAACATTAATGTAATGACATAGAGGACAGATAAATAATTGAATACGTATGAAAAGAAAGGTTGGTGTGAAATAAACTCCCTAGACCTGTATTTTACGGGTCATGATAGCTAGTTTTAAGTAAATTTATAGTGATTTCAAAATTGCATTAATTATAATATTTAAGGCTTTAAAACTTTGTCAGCGATAAATAAAAAAACATTTTTAAAGTTTTTAAATAACAAAGTTTTTAAAAGTTTTTAAAAAACAAAGATTTTAAATTAGAAACTTGGTTGATTCGCCAATTTCGATAGAATAGAATGTTAGTTAAATAAAGTTTTGTTGTAGCATGCTATTTTGTATTTTTTTAAAATAAGCAACTAAGGCATTTTAAGGGGCAGAGGGAGATTCATTCACTGCACGACGGCAGCAAGTTAATTTAATCGGTACATTTAAATATCAAAGTTTTTAAATATTTAAGTATTAAAAAAAAAGTATATTTAACCCTTTCACTGCTCTAGACGTATATACTTGCGAAAAAAATTGAAGTCCCATACGCTTTGAGCTAGTATATTACATATACTAGCTCAAAGCGTATGGGACTTCTGTGAACTTGTTTAAACGTTTCCAAACTTGTTGCTGCAGAATTGATTCTGTGTTATGGTTAGTATAAATCAGAGTGTATACTAGCACACTTATCTCCCTAGTATTCTGTAAAGTCAGTGTTATAGTTGAGTTAACTATTGCTGTGATAATTGAGTTAGTAAATTTGATTATTAACTCTATTCTATATGTACAAAAAATTCTATATGTACAAAAAACTTGCCGCATTTAAATGAGTCAAACTGCTCAACACGAATAAACACGCAACCATGAAAAATATGCGCACAGCAAGCACAACATCTCAAAGTGTGTTGCACAGCAAAAAGGTTAAATGCAAGCTTTTTTTTTAATTAAAAAAAAAAAAAAATTAAATAAAGTTTTTTTTCAGCTTATGAATGATCTTTCTTGTTAATGACAAGACTTTTTTTCAAAAAAAAATCTATTAACTTAGTTTATTTCTTTATTGTGTGTATTAATTACTTTTTTACATGTCTAGTGAAAGTAGCTCTTTTTTAAAATTTATTTGAATATTAACTTGTTTATATAAAATGATTAAATAAACTTATTTGAGGTTTTTTTTTCTTAGAATATGTCAAGTAAATTTTACATAAATGAACCTTAAAAATTTTTATTTTATTATTTTATTATTTTTAGGTGATATTAAAATCGTTTTCGTCTTATTCTGAGTTGCCATTACCAACTATCCAACCAATCAAATCAATTGAAGAAATGCTTGCTTGGATTCCAGGCTATGATGACTTTTGCAGAAGTATTGCTCCTCGCAAAAAGTTTTCTAGAAAAGGAAGTTATGCAAAGACTCTTGTTTGTCATGACATGAAAGGTGGATACATTGAAGATAGGTAAATAACTTTTTTTAAGTTGTTTCTATAGCATTTTGTATAGATAATATATTTGTTATGTTGATTACATTTTTACATGATGAATGTTACTATTTTTAAGATATTTGCTAAATTTGGTATTTTTTGCATTATATTATATATATAATGCAAAATATAGTATTTTTAAAAAAATATATATTATAAGTTATATTATAAATACATATATTTTAACATTTAGTGAAAATTTTTAGTAATACTATAAAATTTTATTTTTTTTAAGTACGATAAGTATCAAAAATAAATTTTTATATTACATTAATAAAATCAATATATACATAAATTATAATTCTCTAAAAACAAATATATATATATAAATTTTTTTTTAATGTAGAAGTTTGTGTACCTTGGGCTAGATTTTTTTAATGTCCAAATTTAAGGCCTCAGACTTGCCTAAAAATGATGAAACTGGTATGATCACATCTTTATGCTAATTACTTTGTATTAGTATAACTATATTGACTTAAACAATAAACGTCCGTCATGAAGAAGGGTTTAAAAATTAGTAGCCCTAAGTACAATAAGCTTTTTTTTTATTTGTACCTAAAATCACTAGCTATTGTACCTAGCTACCTAGTACTGCTTTCTGAAAATTAAGGCAACAAAAATAGACACAGAAATTTGATTAAAAGTTTATTTAATCTTAGATTATTTTCAACAAATTTATTGTCTTTAATTAAGTCATAAGTTTATCTGACAATCAAATTCTATTTCTCTTTCAAAAGTTGGGAGCAAAAGTTAATTTAATTCTTTTTTTGTGAATAAGTAATTAAATAACGCTGACTTGAAATTTTTCAAAGAATAACAATGAAAATTAGGTTGTTATAAGTGACTTAAGTCTACAAGATCATTCGTTACTTATTGCAACATTTGAATAAATAACAAAATTGATTAATAGTTCTGAGCTAAAAAGACAAATATGTCTACGCGTAAAATGATAGTCTCAAAACAGCGAGGTAGATTGTTAAATTTTGATTGGTTTAGTTTTTTTTTTCTTGAGAAGAAAATTTATTCTGCACCAATCAAAATTCAACAATCTACCTCATTATCAAGAAAATTCTTTACGCACATATAGTCCTAGGTACAGGCAAACTATATGGCCCTAGGTACAAGAAATGATAGCCTTATTTCATCTAAATGTCATCTGTTAACGAACCCCGTTTGAGAGGAAACTTAATGAGCATCACATTTAGTTCTTAAGTAGCAAACAATATAATATACAAGAAATTATGTATTCCTCTAGTATTGTAAAACAATCTAAAATACCAGCAGCAAAAATTTACTTTAGACCATTAAAAAGCTTTTTTCGATTATAACTTGCTGTAGAAACACTCTCTGAGAATCAAAATAGAATTAAAAATTAATTTTTTTTTTAACTAATCACCTCACTGAGAAGCATTACTTAGGACTTTTTAGTTTTCAAATAAACTGGGGTGACCCTAGGCATACAATCTTCCCCTAATTTTATGATATATTTTATGATATATTACTAAGTTTTAAATTATTGACTGTATAATACTACATATATATGTGCTATTTATCCGATATTAAATTACCACAAACCACTTGAAACATTGTTACTTCATACCCAATTTAAAAATGCTTACAATGAATATATATAAAAAAACACTGTTTCTCTATGTAAAAGCAATTGGTTAATATTTTGTGATTTAGCCCCCTGCCCCTTTAAAATAGATTTAAGATCTAATTTTTAAAAAAAATTTAAATTTTTTTTATGTTGCATTTTATAGTGAAGCTTTACTATTCACTAGCTTATATTATGCACTATATGTTATTGGTATTTACAAGGCATTCTATGCCATGTGGACCAAGGTCATACATGGACTTTGGTTCACTTTGGCATTTTAAATTTTGATGAGACTTGATAGGTTGGTTTTTTATTAAAAAGAAAAGCAAGTTCTAAAAATTTCTTTTATTTAAATTTCTGAATGTTGCAAAACAAAACCTTTTGTAGCGTAAACATGCTTAGTTCATCTTTGAAGCTATATTTTTTAAGAACAAAATTTTAGAAACCTTTTTTTTTCTTTTTAATTACTATATACAAATCTAGACTTTTCTTTTTAAGTATTATATACAAATCTAAACAAAATTTGTAAAATATTTTTTTTTTCTTTTTAATTATTATATACAAATCTAAACAAAATTTGTAAAATATTGACATTAAATCTTATTTCATTAAATCTTTAATGTCAATATTTTATTAAATTATTATTATTAAATTAGTATTAAGTTATTATTATTAAATTAGTATAGTATAATAACTGAGCGCATCTAAATATCTTCTACAGTTTGTTTCACCTTCAGCAGGTTCATCAGTTTCATCAGGTTTTTCTGATGAACCTGCTAAATGTAAAACAGACTGTAAAAGATAATTAGATAAGTGTTTTTACTAATTTTATTATTGCTCTGTTCTTTAAGAGGATTAAGCAATCTATTGGCTGAATATACTAACTTAACTTACATAAATGTATTAGAGTTATGACTTTTTTATTCCTGAGTAAATCAATTAATATTTGTACAAAAGTAGTGAAAAAAAAATTGATTTTCTTGTTGAAAAAAGTTCACAAACCCAAAATTTGAATTTACCATGTAGGCATAAAAATATCTAGATATTTTTATGCATACTTTCAAAATTTCAATCAATTTTATGATCATTTTTTTTTATTCTAATTTTTTTAATTAGAGAGTTATTACGTAGTTTTTAAGCATTTAAATGAATGCCTAAAAACATCATAACACTCTAAAATACAAATAAATATAAAATTACAACTTTAAATAATAATTCTACAAATACAAAAAGTTACTGTATATATTGAAAAAGGCTTGTGTAAAGATCATCTGTAAGAGATTAATCTACAAATGCTGAGTAGTGAGTCTTTTCTCTCTAGTAGAAGAATAAATGCCAAAAGTAATCAGTAATCTTCACCTTTCTTAAAATTCTTCCTAAGCTTATGTTTGATATTGGGTGACATGTTGTTTCTCTAAGTTTTTCATCCATTACTATGCAAAAGACTCAGTCAAGAATATGGTGTTTACAACAAATGACTTGTAGTTCTTCCAGTTTTTTTTCAGTAAAACATCTTTGTAACTGACTAACAGTTCCATTCCTTCATCCAGTGTTTACATTCCTAGTGTTCTCTACAATTATCTTTATACTCTTCCTTAAATTGTATTCATCTAAAATAGCTGTTGGACTTCTAACAAAAGTATCTGCTTTTCCGCCTGATCTAGTGCTTGAAACTCTTTGTTTCTCTTTGTTTATTCTTCAACACTTGATATTCTTGGTGTCTAATAGGTTTACCATTAAAGTGCAGTGACCAGCTTCCTAAATGTAATTTAGGAAGCTGGTCACTGTCACATTTTTTTGATTTCTTCTTTAAGTTTAACAGCTTCTCTAATATTTTATCAAAATATATCAGACTGTGAAGGTGTCTGAATGTTGATCCCATCTTGAGATAACTGTTGATAAATGGCCCCAGCCTCAGCCCCCAGTCACTTTTATTTTATATTTATTGTTATTATTATTATGATTATATATATATATATATATATATATATATATATATATATATATATATATATATATATATATTTGTGTGTATATATATATATATGTATATATATATATATATATATATATATATATATATATATATATATATATATATATATATATATATATATATATATATATAAAATTTTTCACTCTAAATTATTCCAATATAATTTTTATTTTATGTAATGAATTATTTAAAAAAACATTTTTTAAAAAACATTTTTTTAATTAAAAATGTTGTAACTTAAAGTAAATTTTCTTTAATACTTCGTTGGGAAACCCTTGGCATTGATTATTGCTTGACAGAGACAAGACATTGAGTTCACCAGACTCATAATAACATTATTGTCATTTTTTTCCCTGTCTTGTTTCAGAATTTTAAATAAATCATATTTACTTGTTGATTTTCAATCTGAAATTTGTCGATCAAAGTGTTCCCATAGAGATTCAAAATGATTGTCGATCAAAGTGTTCCCATAGAGATTCAAAATGATTAAGATCAAGACCTTGCGAAGGCCATTCCATTAATCAAATTTTTTTGGTCTTGAAAAAGTCTTTCACAAGGTTTGAAGTGTGAAGGGTCTTTAGCATGTGGTAACATAACATCCTTAATGATATATTTGTACATATTTTTTTTCCATTATGGTGTCAAATAAATGGATAGGATTGACACTCTATTGAAGCAAACCCAACCCATAATGTTTCCACCTCTGTGCTTTACTGTTGGTAGCTGGTATTTAGGATCATTTCTATGGCTTTTTGGTTGACAAACATATCTAATACCATCAGATCCAAATGACATAAACTTAGATTCATCACTAAAAAGTACTTTCAACCATTGTTCTCTTGACCAAATTAAATGTTCGTTAGCAAATCTCAAGCATCCTTTTTGATTCTTTATAGAAATAAAAGGTTTCTTTTGCAGGATGTCTTCCAAATAGATTTGCAGACTTCAAATAGCACTTGGTTGTATCAACACTACATTTTACATTATAAAATTCTTTCATTTCACATTAAACAAAACAACATTTTTGCGTGGATCATTTTTTGCAGCACAAATTACAATTTTATCTTGTTTTTCAGATGTAATTTGAAACCTTTCTAACTTTAGAGAGACTCTATTGTTATTTCTTTGCTTTTAACTTTTTTATATATCTGCTATTGTTGATTTTCCTATATCAAACTGATCTGCTATGTCTCTTGTAGTTCTGCCTTGTTCAATTGCATGCAATACCGCTTCTTTGACAGCTAAACTTGTATATTTTTGCTTTGTCATTTTTAAAATTTATTCAAAAAATCTTCTTTTTAATTAAAAATACTTTATATTTTATTTACCATTTTTAAATCTTTAATAAAAGCCAACAAAAGTATTGGAATTTTACTATTT